ATAAATGAGTGCCACAAGAGTTTTAGAAATGATGACACCTTTTACAGACACTTATGTGATGTCCACACAAACCGTCACTTCAAGTGTGGATTCAAAGGATGTGATAAAGCATTTAAGAGGTCGTCTACTCTTAAGATACACGCCATCACTCATGAGAACCGACGGATCAGATATCGGTGTGAATACAAAGACTGTGGCAAAACATTTCTAAATAGATATTGTCTGAAGGAGCACTCTATGACACACATCACTCAAAGCACTTCCACACCAATTGTCAGGAAGTTTAAGTGTCATTACAATGACTGCAAGTGGAGATTCACCACAAGAAGATATTTAAAAAGACATTTGGAAAGACATTCATCTGAGAGACCGTTTGTGTGTGACTTCATTGGGTGCGGGAAGTGCTTCAAGGGATCAACTGATCTCAGGAACCATTCATTACTACACAAAACGGGTCCCACTCTTAGGTGTGAAATTGACGGATGTGTTGATATGTTTTACACCGAATACCACCGAAGCCTTCATCACAAGTCTGTTCACAATTACTGTCCAAAAGAGTCTGAAGTTTGTGTTGAAGATATGAAACAAGAGACCACTGAAGGGTCGGATAAAAGTTGTATCGAAACCACAAAAACAATGGATTTAAATAACGATTCAAACAATTCATTGCGGGATCTCTTGAAGAGGAATCGCACGGAAAGAGAGAAATGTTTTGATTTGAATACAAAGACATTTAAATGTCCGCTAAATGAATGTAAGAGTAGTTTTGCATCAAATAAACGCTTTTACATGCATTTGGATTGTGTCCACTCGAGTGACCGATTTATGTGCCAATACAAGGACTGCAATAAAGTGTTTAAAGACAAGAAACATTTTAAACTCCATTCAGTAGTTTCGCATCAAATAAACGCTTTTACATGCATTTGGATTGTGTCCACTCGAGTGACCGATTTATGTGCCAATACAAGGACTGCAATAAAGTGTTTAAAGACAAGAAACATTTTAAACTCCATTCAGGCGTTCATTTAAATGGCAAACAATTTAAGTGTCATTATAATGGCTGTAATTATGAAACGCATATAAATTACCTATTGAACAGACATTTGGGGATTCATTCAGCGGACAGACCATTGTTTAGATGCGATGTCATTGACTGCGGGAAGACATTGAAGACTAAATTGTCTCTCAAAAAGCATATACAAAATATGCACGAAAGCGGACCGACATATAAGTGTGGTATCAATGGATGCAATGATATGTTTACGACTGAACACTTCAAACGCAAACATCAGACCGAAGTCCACAATCGGGCGCCAGTTATTACTCGCGTATACAAATACCGGTGCGATTGGCCGGGATGTGAGTGGATCGGCAAAGATATCAAAGAACATAAACGGTTACATTCGGGTGAAAAGCCATTCCAGTGTTTATGGCCCGACTGTGGCAAACGGTTCCGAATGAAACCCAATTTAAGAGATCACATGAATATTCACAACAATGTTAAGCCCTATGCGTGTCATTGGCCCGGATGTACATATGGGGCCACTAATAGTGGTAATCTCGTTAAGCATACAAAACAAGTTCACAAAATGTAATTAATTGTAATTTTGAATACATTTATAAATGCATTGAACGAAATCTAATTATTTTTATTAATTTTTAATATACAATGTATTGGTATTAAAATTCTTTGCATTATATAAAATTTTGCCAAATATTGTACAAAATTAATGGTATATTTAAGAAAATACTTAAAATCATTAAAAAATTAATAAATTGTGTTTTCAATGAAATATTTATTACATTTAATAATGAATTGAGTTTTTGAAAAGTTTGGAAAATATTATGCAATGAATCGAAAATCCCTTCAATTCTCATGTTTTCTATTTTTGTTTACATTTTTGTCATTTAATTGTTGTTTAGTTTTGGACTTAATTTGTATTCAAATTTATTGTGAATTAGTTTTAATTTTATTTATAGTTTTAATTATGAATCCAATTATTTATATAAACGATATTTTGGATGAATTAATGGTTGAAAACAATAGACTTTTACATGAAATTCAATGTTTGAATGAAATGAAAATATATTTATTTAAAATTCATTTAAAATATGAAACACTTATCGATTCAGAAGACAATCAACACTTCCGGACATTATCTCAAACTTTGGATCAATTGAATGAGCAGAAGAGCACACGTGATAACGATTCCAATGCTATCACTGAATCTGATTCGCGACTTAAGAGTCCATCGAAACGACAATTAAAGCGAAAAAGAAAACCTCGAAAACAAGAAGTGATACAAACTTTCAATGATATGAATACACACACAGACATCGGTTCCGCCCAAGACTTGGGCCAAGAAATCGATGAATCAAATGATAATATAATGGCCACAGAGGCTGTCGAAGAGGAATCGGTGGTCAAAACGGATTCAAATCAATCACTTTATGAATCCTTACGACACAAACGGGAAGAAAGAGAGAAATGCTATGATTTGAACAAAAGTGCATTCATTTG